CCTGGAAAACAGTATGGAGGCTCCTCAAAAAGTTAAAAATAGAACTACCTAATGGACCCAGCAATTGCACACTACAAGGTATTAACCCAAAGAATACAAAAATACTAATTCGAAGGGAGACATCCACCCTGATGTTTATAGCAGTATTATCTACATAATAGCCAAATTATGGAAAATGCCACAGAGTCCATTGGCTGATGAATGGGTAAATAAGTGGTATACATATCATATATACACAATGGGATATTACTCAGCCATAAAAAAATAATGAAATCTTGACTTTGCAACAACATGGATAGAGCTAGTGAGTATAATGCAAAGCAAAATAAGTCAGAGAAAGACAAATACCATGTGATTTCACTCATATGTAGAATTTAAGAAATAAGTTTTACTTTTGTAAACAAAAATATTTATCTTTTCTCCTTGCCTGATTCTTCAAAAAATTATGAAACTATTATTGAATATTCTTATTTTCATGATACTGTAAGTGTTAGCTAGGCTCAATCAATAGAATAGGACATAATTTAAAACACTAGTTTTATGACCAAAGCTTTGATTGGAATGTCACATTTGAAAATGATGCATAAAATCAGACAGAATGGACAATTTAAAGGAGGTAAGGTTGACTTTATGGAGCCAAGGTTTACAAAGCTCTCTAGGAAAAAACTGGGCTTACATGGTTCCCAGCCTTACAGTAGGTCAGTAAAGTAGGTTACTTCCCACTAGGCCCAGGAAACTTAGGATGTTTTGGGAAACCTCGAGAAAAGAGGAATTCACCCAAATCCATAGGTAGTGCAGGTGATGTCTGACAGTGAATTCTCTTGAATTCCTAGGATTGAGAGGCTTTTAAAGTCCAATCTGAGATTCCTTATAACGAGTTCAATAAAGTAAACTTAAAAATATCTGTAAGGGGGTGCCTGGTTGGCTCAGTTAGTTAAGTGTCCGACTTCAGTTCAGGTCATGATCTCACGGTCCATCAGTTCGAGCCCCACATCGGGGTCTGTGCTGACAGTTCAGAGCCTGAAGCCTGCTTCGGATTCTGCGTCTCCCTCTGTCTGCCTCTCCCAGCTTACACTCTGTCTCTCTCTCTTTCTCAAAAATAAACAAACATTAAAAAAAATTAAAGAAAAATGTCTGTATGGTTGATTACCATTCTCATTGCACTCACGTAAATAATGAAGCCAACTTTAATGAAACTAAAATTATTTTGTTAACAAAATTATTCTTATTTTGATAACCTTTTTTTTTTAAAGTTTATTTATTTATTTTAGGGGGGAGGGGCAGAGAACGAGGGAGAGAGAGAATTCCAAGCAGTCTTCACACTGCCAGCACAGAGCCCAATGTGGGAGTTGAACTCACAAACAGCGAGATCATGACCTGAGCTGAAATCAAGAATCAGGAGCTTAACTGAGCCACCCAGGTACCCCATTGATAACCTTTGATTAAAAAGGGGGGATGACTGTAGACAGAAATTTTATGACAACGAAAAAGTATATCACACCCAGAATCTACTCCTCATTGTCTCTGAGGTTTTATTATCTTCCTGAAAACCAAACTGGATCCTGCCATCTTACATATTTGTCAGCCTTAGCAAACTCTTTCTTTCTTTTTTTCAGCCCTTAGCAAAGCTTAATTCCCCTAGTTTCCTTCAATATCTGCCTACAGCTCTCCAAATTGCTGTTTCCCATTTTTCTCCTTCTCTCCTAACTTGGCATCACTGAGAACTAAAACCTGACTGCCCTTCTTGGTCCTTACTGGGACTCAGCTTGTCCTGTGGTTGCCCTTTCCTCCAGGATCTGAAAAAGCCCTGTAAGCTGATGCCTGACAACTTGATGTAAACGTCAAAGAACTTGTCAGTACAAATCACGTGTGGGTCACCATTGCTGTCACTTGGGCCACCCAGAAGACCCACCAGAACTCCTGCGTCTTCCATGCTCTGCTCTGGGAAGTAGCCATGACTGTGACATTGATGTCTATGGCATCACTACCAACATTCGAACTATAAACCAAGATATCTATCAGACTGTCACTGCCATCCTCAAACTACCGTGTAAAGATGCTTAAGAGTTTTGTGTCTTAAGTGATCTTCTACCCTCTGGACTCAGAAACTAGCTTTATAGTCTGCTCCCACCATTAATCCTTGTTTTCTTTCTGTTTCCATAGAGATGCACCTCACTAAATGCCTGACTGCTCATGTCATCCAGTAAATACCTTCTCCTACCAAGTAGCAACAGATGGTTCAGTTAGTCCTTAATTAACAGAGGGAGATCGAATGAGAAATGGACTTCCATTGCTCCAAGAAAGAAGAATGTCTCTTACTGTCTCTTTCTTACTGTTTGTGGCAGCCAACACCGGAAGACAGGGCCTGTCTCCTAGTGTGTGAGCCCCAGTTTTATAAAGCCCCAGTTAGCAACCCAGATCAGTTTCACATGGACCAACCCCCACTACCTTCCCATTTTTGTAATTTCTGTTTCCCAGATTCTACTGAGATCATGCTCATCTCACTCCCTCCTCCCTCAGTCTCCCTTTAAAACACGCAGTAACCTCTGTACAAATTGGAGTTCAGTTACATCACACTCATTTCCCTACAGCAAGTTATTGATTAAAACCTATCCTTACTACTTTAACTAGTACATGGCTTTATTTTTGACAATATGCAAGTACTTCTGAGTCCCTGCTGTTAATTCTTCAGGTGTATACTCAGAAGTGAAATTGCTGGGAGCGCCTGGGTGGCTCAGTTAAGCCTCTAACTCTTGATTTTGGCTCAGGTCATGATCTCACAGTTGGTGAGTTCGACCTCTGCATCGGGCTCTGTGCAGAGCCTTCTTTGGATTTTCTCTCTCTCCCCTCCATCCCCCCAAAAAAAGTGGAATTGCTGGATTGTATACTAATTCTATTTTTAACTTTTTGAGGAAATACCACACTGTTTTCCACGGTGGCTGCATCCCCTCCAGCAGTGCATACGGGTTTCAATGTCTCCAGACCGTCACCAATACTTGTTATTTTCTGGGTTTTCTAATAGTAGCCATCCTAATGAGTAGGATGAAGTAGCATCTCACTGTGGTTTTGATTTCCATCTGCCTAATCATTACTGATGTTGCACATCTTCCCATGTGCTTATTGACCATTTGCATATCTTCTGTGCATGTTCTATTTCTTAAGCTGAGTGGTGGGGACACGGGTATTTTTCTGGCTTTATTCCTTAACTTGTACTTATGTAGTATGTATTCTTCTTAAAAATTATATTTCATAATTAAAAACATAAAAATCTTCCAGTGTGTGCTAGGAGATGGTGGGATACCTGAACATCTTAGCCAGTGGGTTGGGTTCATGGATTTCAGGTAGATGTATCAGGCTAGGTTCCAGTCTTTTCTGCTGTTAATCTAGATTTCTGACATCTTTTTAGAGACATTCCCTCTGCCTAACCTCAGAATGGGCTCCTACAGTCCCTGCAAACTGGGCGGCACACTGTGTAAGCCTATGCCCTCAGCACTAGCTGGACTGGAGTGGACATCTGACTCCATCAAATCCCCTCTCTCAGGAATCTAGAGTTGGGTCTAGGGGACTCTAATCAGATGGTCCAAGTCTTTGTTCTTAGAAGTTAATAGCCCAAGGAGGACGAAGGAGTCATCCCATGGGGGAGGGCATTTTGGAGTACTGTACACTAATAAGGAAGCCGATGAAACTGGCTTACAGATGGAATGGAATTGCCAGAGGCAATGAGTCTATGAGCACAGCTTTGGTTCCAGACTGCTTTCTGGTCCCCAGGCTTTGCCCCAGAAGAGCTCTTATCACACTATGTACTGTAATCATCACAGGGACTTTCTCTTTGGATTCTGGGAGATAGGCCCAATTCCTTATAATAATCTCCTTTAGATCTGGGCTAGCTTGAGTGGCCTTTTGCTTCCCACAATCAAATGATCTCTCAGGTAAAGGGCTATATTCTCTTATTTAAGGGGTAGCACAAGTCTGGGATGGAGAGTAAGACTGTTCTTGCTTCAAAATAGCTAGAAATAGACTCCATCTCTTCAACCTGAGAGCCAGGAGCAATGGGGAACAGGATGAACAGCCCACATTTGTCATTTGGGCACAGCTCTGCCACAGGCTTCTGCTCCTAAGCTTTGCAGAGGAAAGGGGTGGGCAGGCTTTTCCAAATGTTGACTTTGCAGCCTTGCCCTCAGGATTTGTCTCTGTTGGCTTCAGCCTATATCCCTCACCTTAATTTCTCCTACTTGCTAAAGGGGAATAGAAGCAATTTCATCTCATCTTTCTCTGGCATATCACTGTTTTGGGAACACAGCTTGTTTCTTCAGCAAGGCTGTGCATCCTTGAAGGGAGAAATGTAGACTTGCCTATATTTTATAGCTCTTCACGTACCTATCCTAGGATGGATATGAAATAGCTACTTATTGAATGGATAGTTATATCTCAGTGCTTACAATTTCTTTCCATATTTAAGAAAGAAATGAAGAAAGTACCTTGTTCAAAAGCTCTGCTCACACTGTCAGTCAATTCCTTCTGTTTAGCTGAAAGAGAAAATCACTATCTTAATTTTCCTATTCAAATAAACTAATGATATCAGGGTAACATTTTGTAGCTGGTTACAACACAATACAACACGTTATACCACACAATACTACACAACATAACACTACACAACATGGGGCTTAGATTCCAGGGTAAGGCCTCATAAGCTCTGTCTCCACATGTCCCATGACGGCAGCTCCTGTTTGGTGCGGCTCACCCTAGTTACATTATGGTTTTCCACTTATGAAGGGCCTGAGAGGTGCGGTGCCTTGGTGGCTCACTTGGTTAAGCAACAGACTTTGGCTTAGGTCATGATCTCACAGTTCATGAGTTCAAGCACCACACTGGGTTCCCTGCTGTCAGCGTGGAGTCCTCTAGGGGATCCTCTGTCTTCCTTTCTCTGTCCCCGCCTCCACTCAAAAATAAATAAACATTAAAAAAAAAAAAAGTTCTGAGGGGCAATCACCAAGTCTTGTAAAATGGCTATAGAATCTTAAATAAAGTAAAATAAAATAAAATAGAACAAGGAAATGCTTTGATTACCTCCATCAAGTAGGATGAATTTTCCAGATTTCAAGCAGGAGAAAATGAACAAGCTGGGATTGCCTACGGGCAGGGCATTGGGCAGGGCATTACAGTGTTTCAAGCAACCACTCGCAACTTCTACAGCCTCCCAGGAAACTGAAACATTTAGATAATATTGTACCACAGTAGAGAAGATGCCAATCGAGGTAGAGAAGTAGCCACCTTATGTTTCTGCTGGTTCTTCATTAGAAAATGAAGAATTTTACTGTGTGTTTCCCAGATATAAATAGTATTGATCATTTATATGGTGCCTGCTTTCAAAGCATTTTCAAATATGTTACATTCAGATTGTAGGCACTTACAGGTATTGGGAGATGGCTTTATTGTCACATAGTTGGTTGAGTGGAGGAGCTGGGAACAGACCCCATGTGTCCAGACTCTTAGGCAGTGGCAGAAAACTGGCAATGTGGTATTGACAAAAGAACACTGGAGTAGAAGTCTAGAGGTTCTGAAGTCCTGCCCCAAATCTAACTAGCCCTATGCCCTTGAATACTCACTCACTTACCTTGGGCCTTAGCAGGTGCCTATAGGGAAAGAAGCCTAGGAATTAATCTAAATGAAGGTCAGTGACCTGTTCAAAACCAGACATTTACTATAGGGCTAGAATAACCCCCACCAATGACTGAGCACCTGCTGTGGTCTGAGCACTGTTAAGTGTTTTACATGTTTTACTTCATTTACTTTAATCCTTGCAACAACCAGTGCTAATGTCATCTCCGTTTTACAGATAAGGAATCTGAGGCTCAGAGGGGTGAAGTCACTGGCTCAAGGTCACAAATAAATTCAATGACAGTGTTGACAGTGCACCCAAGACCCCTTACAGTACAGTGTCATTCCTTCCAAAGCCGTGCAGATGGGGCTTCTGATTGTATGCGCTGAGTTCTTCTTCCAACACCCAGCCGTAAGGCCATTGGTACACACCTGGCTGATAGACCCTCCCTTCACCAATTGCCATTTTGTTGCTTTTAACTTCTTAAAAGTTAAAAGTTCATTATTTATTCACTCAATATTTATTGAGCCCCTGTTATATATCAAATAATATTCCATGGGCAGAGCATATGAGGGGACCAAAAAGCAGACACAATTTCTGCCTCTGCAGAACTTCTAGTCCAAGGAGGGAGGGGGGCTGAGATTGGTCAAATAATCTCACATAGAACAGTAAGGTTATAACTGTGATTGGTCCTACAAGGGAGGCATGCCCACTGCCAAATGGTATAGATAAAGAGGTTCTCTGAGGGTTCTCTGAGGAAGTGATGATTGCCCCCAGATCTGGAGGGGGAAGAGTTAACTGGAAGTAGAAGAGGGTTTTAAGCAAAAGAACAGCTTGTGCAAAGGCCCTAGGGTAGAATGCTTGGTACAGATGAAGAACTAGAAATCGCCTGTGTGCCTAAGGTAGAGGGGCAACTGGGAGGAGGCAGAGGTCAGATCATACAGGTCCCTATAATCCCATAAGACACTGATCTTTAACCTGAGAGCAGTGAGAAGCCAGTTAAAGTTGTAAAGCAAGACCAAGGGTAATATGATTAGATTTGGGTTTCAAAAGATCATACAAATCACAGTGTAGGAATGTATTTGATTGAGGGTACAGCTAGACCAGTCTAGAGGTATCACACTTGTCCCAGTGAGAAAGAATGGTAGCTTGGAATAGGGTGCCGGCAGTGAAACCTCAGATATGGGTCACTTTTAGAAGGGTGGCATTTCAAGATTTGGTGATGACTGTCTATGGGGGTAAGGGAGGATAAGTTAAGAATGCCTCCTCAGTGCTTTTCTTTTTTTTTTTTAATGTTTCTTTATTTTCGAGAGACAGGGAGAGCATTAACAGGAGAGGAGCAGAGAGAGAAGGAGACACAGAATCTGAAGCAGGCTGCAGGCTCTGAGCTAGCTGTCAGCACAGAGCCCAATGCGGGGCTCATTCTCATGAACTGCGAGACCATGACCTGAGCTGAAGTTGGCCGCCTGAGGCCCCAGGCGCCCCAGCCTCCTCAGTGCTTTGGACTTGTGCAACTGGATTTACCTAGGGAACATCAGCAGTAGTTTGTTTTTTTAGGAGGTCGGGGAGAGGCTCATGAACTCCATTTTGGACACGGTGAGTTGAAATACATAAACTCCATGAAGACACGGGGCGCGTCTTTCTTGTTCACTGTGTCATGCACAATGCTTGATACATAGTAGGCATGCCACAAACATTTGTCAGAGTACATACGTGCATACAATTGGAGAATTTGGAACTTTTTGTACATGGCATGGTTACCTTTGTGTTACCTTGGTTGGGCTATGGCCCAGTCGTTTGGTCAAATGCTAGTCTAGATGTTGCTGTGAAGGTATTTTGTAGATGTGATTAACATTAATAGCCAGTTGACTTTAAGTAAAGATTAGCTTCGATAATGTGGGCATAGAGGTCCTGCCTGAGTTTCCAGCCATAGAGGTCTGCCCTACATATTTCAGACTTGCTAGCTCTCACAATTATGTGAGTCAATTCCTTAAAATAGGTTTCTCTCTCTTGCTCTCCATGTGTATATATATATTATTGGTTTTATTTCTCTGGAGACCTGACTGATACACTATGCAATAAAGTGGAAAGCAAACCAATTTGTGATCAGAAGTCAGTTTTTCAATCTTTGCTCTGCAAGGTGACTTTGGGCATTTCCATGAACTTTTAAGGCCTATTTCTTCTTCTTCTTCTTTTTTTTTAAATGTTTATTTATTTTTGAGAGAGAGAGAGAAAGAGAGAGGGAAAGCACGCAAGTAAGCACAAGCTGGGAGGAGGCAGAGAGAGAGGGAGACACAGAATCTGAAGCAGGCTCCAGGCTCTGAGTTGTCATTGTAGAGCCTGACACAGGGCTCGAACCCACGAACCATGAGATCATGACCTGAGCAGAAGTTGGACGTTTAACTAACTGAGCCACCCAGGCTCTCTCTCTCTCTCTTTTTTTTTTAAATTTTTATTTATTTATTTTGGATGGGGGAAGGAGAAGAGAGGGAGAGAAAGAGAATCCCAAGCAGGTTCCGTGCTGTCAGTGCACAGAAAGCTCTATTTTTGTCAGAGACAATAATAACATCTAAATGATGTCACGGGTAGGAAGGAGGCTTGCAATCTGCAAAATACTATTACATTCTTGGTTTAAGGCTGCCTTCCAGCAAGCTAGGGATGTTGCAAGTCTAAACTCCAGACAAAATTGCTTTCAGTATTATCGAGAAAAAAAAAACTCTCCCTGAATCATTATGACAACCAATATGTAGTCTTCATACTCGCTTTTCACTTAACCTTGGACATGTACTCATAACAGCTATAAAATGTGTTCAGTGGTATTTTATCTTTTACCTCTGACAATAGATTCAATCTCTTTCATAGCAGCTTCACTTTCAGCTTCTGCAAGTTTTTCGTTGATTTCCATTATTTCCATGAGGAATTGCTGGTCCATTTCATAATCTGTCCCTTCGGGAATCTCTACTCCATGGAGCTTTAGCTATTGGGACATGACGCAGAGAAAGTAAGGTTGGTTGAAGAAACTGTGGCCAGAGTCATAAATCCTACTCATCCTTCAGAACAGAATATGATTCATAAAAAACTGTCTTAATAGTGAGAGTGTGAAGGTAGGGTATGAGCAAGTCAGACTGATATAGGGTAGCTGGGACAGGATTCCTCTCTGCTACCTGGGACTGCGTAGCCCTGGGGGAGTCGTTCTTCCACTCAGGAGACTGAACTAGGTATTTGTAAAGGTTCTATTAAATCCTAAAATTCTAAGGTGCTAAACTCTTCCCTCCACCTCCCCCCCCAACCCCAAATTACTCTTCTGTAAATGCAATCACCATCCAATGGTTGAAATTTAGAGAAAAATGATAAAAACAAACATGCAGTCAGGCAAGCAGATTTACAAGTATTCAGAGAAAACTATCTTCACTCAGTATCTTTGAGGCTAAAAAATATTTTTGGGTCCCTAGACTAGCTCAGGTCTCAAGCACTCTTCTGCTGAATACAGGGGAGCAGCTGTCCCACAGCACAATGAACACCATGTGGCCACGCATAGAAGGGTTGGGAAATCACCTTACAAGGTATAGTCCCCTGCTCAGTGGGGCCAGAAGGGTCTTATAGGCATCATTCACCAGGGTCGAATGCTTCTCTGAGAAGTCTTTTTCAGTCTGTTAGTGGAGATGAAGAAAATCTTATTATTGTCCAGATCAGCCACATTACATTCACAAACTGTTTCATGAAATACTGATGGGGGGCACCTAAGGAAGCCACAAAGGAGAACCGGTGTGGGATGGGCTGTCTTTATTTTCAACAGATGGGTTCTAACTCTTCTGGGAAATCAGGTAAAAGCTGTGAGTGCAGGGTAGATCCAGGGCCTGGCAATCCGGGGTCAGGCTGTCCTTGGGCAGAGCTGGCTGTTTAGCTCGGTCTCTGATAATCACATCACCCCAAGGCCACTGTTACCCGCCCCACCATGCACTCATGTTTGGGTGTGATTAGGGGTGGCCCACAGGCTACCTGGGACCTCTGGCTGAAGAAATCCGGGTGGACCAGGCGCTGTAGTTGCTGGTACCTGTTCTGGAGCTTTGCCGTGTCCACTCTGAAGGCACGGTTGCTGTAAGGAATTTGGGAGATAAAATGCATGCGTCAAATATTTTTAGATTTTTATACTGTGGGCCTGGTTCCTGCTTTCATGGGGGAAGATGAAAATAAACACGTAGAGAGAGAGATAACTTTAAAAAGTGGTAGGTGCTATTAAAGAGAAGAGAATAGGGTCAGAGAAAGTGGTAGATGTGGTGGACAAAGAGATGACCTTTGAGCTGAGACCTGAATGATGATGAAAAATAATCAGGGGCACCTGCTTGGCACAGTTAGGTGACCCGCTCTGGTCATTATCTGAGGGTTCATGAGTTTGAGCCCTGTGTTCTGGAGCCTGTTTGGGATCCTCTATCTCTGCCCACCCCCCCCCCCCAAATAAATAAATACACTTATAATAATCAAAGATGAGAGGAAAAACTTATGCTGAGGCAGAAGGAAGATGCAAAGGCTCTGAGGTAGGAATGAGTTGGACGCGCTCCAAGAACTTATAGGATAGTGTTACTGCAGCTCATCATAAGCGCGCAGTGCCTGGCAGGGGGCACATCCCAGAGTTAAGGGGACCGACCATTTCGAATCCCACCCGAGCTTTTGAAGGCCCAGGTCCCTCCATCTTCGTCTCCCACTGTATTTTAACCCAGTCTCTTTCACTTTCTATTGGTGGGCGTCTGCTCTGTCATAACAGGTTTGCTCTGCCCAAACTTCACCACCTCTCCAACCTCCTCGACCATCGGAGGAAAACAGGAAAAACAGTCATTTCTCAGCCTCTCTCCTTCCAGTCCTCACTTCTCCCTTAGACTCAGCCCACGGTGTTGAGGTTTTTGGTGCTTTTACACCCTATTTTGCTTGTTTTTTTTCCTAGATTACCCATTTATTATAAAGGGGTGTAACTCAGGAAGAGCCAGATGGCAGAGACGCATAGGTGAAAAGTGCCTCAGTATCCCTTTCTGAAAATACTCAGTCCAACTTTAACCATTCTGACCCTGTCCCTCAAGTCTCCTTTCTCCCGCACCCCAGTACACTTCCCTCAGGCCCCGCCCCTCGGCTTCCCTTCTCGGGTCCCACCCCTCGCGTCTCCATCCACAGAGCCTCCTTCAATTCCCCCTAACTTCCTTCCCCGCCCTTCCAGGGCTCGCTCCGTTCCGGTCGCTGTCCGTCAAAGGCCCTATCCTCAGGCCCACCCCTCAATTTCCTCTCTCACCGGCCACAATCCCACCCTCCCTGGCCCCACTCCCAGTTCTCTAGGGCCCCGCCTTCTCCTTCCCAAGCATGAGCGGCCCTCCCCGCTAGTTCGCCAGCCCCGGACGTGTCTCTGCCGCCGCATTTCCTGAAACCGCCTTTCGTACCAGTCCATGAGGCTGAAGTAATCTCGAGTGGGGTCAGGTGGCTGCAGCGCGCGGCACTGTGGGCAAAAGAACCCGTCTCCCCGCATGAGGCCCCCTGGGCCGCCGCACTTCCAACACTTGGGAGAATTGTTTCCTGCCACAGACGCAGCACTGCAGCCTAGCGGTCTCCGCCCGAGGACCCCTGCGGGCCACAGCCCCCGCACGCGGGGCAAGACGCTGGTCTTCCCGACCCACATCTGGCGCCGCCTGTTTCGCCGCGGTCACCTGTGGGGGGAAACCGGGAGAGAGCGCTCGACCAGACTAGTGCTGCTGATTGGCTGGGGAGCTGAGGAGGCGGGATAACTCGGGGGAAACCTGGATTCTGGGAGTCCCGCTCTGCATTTTAAACTACAACTCCCAGAAAACATTGAGGCTACGCGTAGAAGACCACATCGGCTGCTCTTCATTGGTCTGGCGGAGGCGGAGGGGTGTTTTGATTGGCTGAGGGAGGAGTTCGTATGTGCTTGTTTAGCGCCACAGTGCTGGCTGCGGCTTGCTGTGTGTTGTGTGGCTACAGGTGGGCTCACGCGGTGAGTCGTAGCGGGGAACTTTCTCTTGGGTGTTTAGGGGGTTCGATTCCCATCCTTGGGGTCTTAATGCGAGCTGAATCTCCCAGATTTTCACTTTGGTTTTTCAGCTTTGTTTGGGGGAAGAGAGGAACGCGTGGGCAACTTGTCTTCCTTAGCAGATGAACTTCGAGGTGAAGTTCACTTCCCCTGTTACTTACAAGCTGAAACTGGCCTAGACGTGCATGGTAAGAAAGAACAAAATTGTGTTCTTCAAAATCAGAGGCAAATTGCTTTGTAAAGAGTTACATAAATGTTACTAATTATTACCATATTTTAGATTCAGTTTAAAAAAAAAAGCCTGTTGAGAACCCCACTCTTAGCTGCTAGGCGATGTAGAAACAGGAAACACATTGACCTGTGTGAAGGATGCCCTGCGAGTGTCCATAAGTGTGCGGGATGGCGTGGCGAGGAGAAGGTAGGAGGGCACCAGTCCACCTTGGGACTCAGTTTCTCAATTTGAAAAAAAAATGTTGCACTTGAAAGCCCTTTTCTGATCGTTTGATTGTTTGGAACTGGAGTTCTGTTCTGTCAATTATCATGCATTGCTGGGAATGGAACGTTCATGTATCATCTCATTTAATCCTCAAGATCTATCTACTCAGGTTGTGATCCGCTTGAAGGTCATGCAACGATTTGACTCAGGCATCTGACTCCAGATCTTTTGCCTCTAACCTTTCCATATACTTCCTCCTCATGGCTGAGAGTAATGTGTTTTCTGTCTGGTGGACCTTTACTGTAAGCAAGGATAGCAGCCACTTCTTGACACAGTCTTTCCCCAGTTTTCAGGACAGAGAAGTCTTGCTCAAAAAGCTGAAACGGTTGCAGCCTTGATCTAGATAGCAGCTGCTGTATTCAGCTCTGGCATCATCTTACTGGTGTGGCTTAAGTAGAAGTCATCAGGATCTTTGAATTTGGAAAGCTATATAAATGCAGTCAGTGTGAGTGATGTTTACTATGTTTTCCTGGAGGAATACCTGAGTATGGGTATCTGGGGAGAAGAGAGAATGCTTCTCCTCCCCCTTTATAAAAATCAGATTAGGGATTTAAAGTTAGGGATTGATTTTATTGTAGTTTCTGTTATCAGAGTTTAACTGTCCATTGAGTTAATTCTAAACAAGGGTGGGAACCTTTTAAGGTCTCCTGTGACTCAGAATGGTTTCTGGAGGATTCTGTTGGGCTGGAAGGCCTTTTAGGATGCTGAAAAGATGAGCCCTTCATAGTAACTTAGCATCACAAAGTGCTAGGTGGAGTTGTTTAGAGCAGTCTTTTTTGTGATTTGTCTCATTAAGTAGTCTGGCCCTTAGTTAGGAGTCAGAGTATCTAGAATGAACAAACAGGATGTGGTCTTCACGGGCTAGGGGCAAGTTTGGTGGGGGAGGGGCTTCAGTGACATTTTATGTAGATGGTCACCCCTGGAGTGGTGTGGTGAGTTAGTATAGTTTCTTTTTGCTCATAGAAGATTCTAATCTTCCTAATCCATGAACATTCCCTTTCTTGTTCCAAAATATGAAATTTAAGTTTAGTGTTGATTATATTAATGAATACCTTTTAGGTTATATTTCTAATTTTTAAAACAAAAATTTAAAAAAATTTTTAAAAATTAGATGAATGTAAGCTGTTATGAGTTTTCCCTCCCACCCCCAATTTAGTTAATTGCTTTTAACTTATTTACAACCTTCAAACAATTCTCTTCTTTCTTTTCCCTGTGGTTTGTGGGTGTTTATACAAAATACTGATCTGGTGAAAGTGATCTGATGACAACCTCAGCCCAGAAGAACTATAGATCTATCTAGATTGTGAAAAAAATTTTTTTAAGTTTGTTTATTTAAAACATTTTTAATGTTTATTTTTGAGAGAGACAGAATGCAAGGGGGGAGGGGCAGAGAGAGAGGGAGACACAGAATCTGAAGCAGGCTCCAGGCTCTGAGCTGTCAGCACAGAGCTCGATGTGGGGCTCGAACCTACCAACCGCCAGATCATGACCTGAGCTGAAGTTGGACACTTAACAGACTGAGCCACCCAGGTGCCCCTTAAGTTTATGTATTTATTTTGAGAGACAGAGGGAGTATGTGTACTCGTGCGTGGAGGGGGAGGGGCAGAGAGAGAGAAGGAGAGAGAGCCAAGCAGTCTCCTCCATGTCAGCACAGAGCACAACTGGGGCTTCATCTCACAAACTGTGAGTTCATGACCTAACCCGAAATCAAGTGTCGCAAGCCCAACTGACTGAGCCACACAGGCTCAGACTGTTAGAATTTTAACACCTGTAGAACATACTCCTTGCTCCGGAGTCCCCCCCCCCCCCCCGATGTAAATATGTTCATCCTTCACCCTTGAATTTCAAGCCTTGTTCCTTGAAACTTACCTTATTACTGGCCACTTATTTTTGAGGTCATAATGTCTCGGGAGACGGATGTGGAGGGTCAACCGTCCCATGGCAGCGGTGCCTGTTCACAGTCCCAAGGTGGCTTCTCGCAGTCTCCAGGCATCTCCTCCCAGACACATGGCTCCTCCTCACACTCGCAGGGCACGTCCAGCTCTTCCACCAACACAGCACCCACGTCCAGCCAGTCCTCTCATTCCAGCTCGGGGACGCTGAGCTCCTTAGACACGGTGTCCACCCAGGAGCTCTGTTCCATTCCTGAGGACCAAGAACCAGAGGAGCCTGTCCCTGCCCCCTGGGCTCGATTATGGGCCCTTCAGGATGGATTCCCCAATCTTGGTAAGATCCTTTGTTATATTGTGTAATATTTTAATTGTTCACAGAAACAGTTGCTGAGAGTTGTAGCAGAAAGCTTAGACACTTCTGGAATGATTTTGGAGTTTGAAGGTGATGAAAGATCGGACCAAGGATGCAGTTTGGGGGGAGTTTACTGACTCTCACCTGCTGCGGATCTCCCTTCATTTATTCTTTCTGCAAGTATTAATCGGGCATCTGTAATGTTCTGTGTGTCTGAGCATCTGAAGAAAGCAGTGGGCCCTTTCTCTAAAAAAATGCTGATTCACGCAAACTTGCAAATGGCTTTGGACTCCTCACAGAAACCTCACCACTCAACCCCTTCTGTGGCAGCTTTAGAACATCCCTCTTACAGTTTCACAATAGGGAAGGCTGTTTATTGACTGTTATTTGATTTTATCTCACAATAGCCAACCCTGCAATTTAAATACATTCATCCTCCCTGACACTTCCTGATTCCAGTAGGAAGGCCTTGCTATGTGTGTGTTTGAAATAGCAGTTTAATATTAAAAATGAATGATTAATGTAGTATTTGTACCTTATCACTCTTTATCTCATGTCCAACTTTGATGACCTGAAAAACAGTAGAAAATGGAGAAATGATATAGGAATGTTTATAGGTACAACTTTGAATTTTGAAGTAAGTACTTGAAACTATTTTGTACTCATTTAAGCCATAGTTTTAAGATAGGCTTAGGGCTGATGTATGGTGAGTGGGAAACAGAGATAAGGGGAGAAAGGGTGAAATGGGCTGCATTGCTTTTATTTTATTTATTTTTTATTTTTATTTTTCTAATTAGTTAATTAAGTAATTTTTAAATTTACACCCAAGTTAGTTAGCATGTAGTGCAACAATGATTTCAGGAGTTGATTCCTTAATGCCCTTTTCCCATTTAGCCCGTCCCCCTCCCTCCACATCCCCTCCAGTAACTGTTTGTTTATTCTCTATATTTAAGAGTCTCTTATTTATTTATTTTTTAAATGTTCTATTTCTTTCTGAGAGAGAGAGAGACAGAGACAGTGTGAGCAGGGGAGGGTCAGAGAGAGAGGGAAACACAGAATCTGAAGAATATATATATATACTTCAGGTGTGTGTGTATACACATATGGATAGACATAGTGTAGGTTTTCAGCTCTAACATACTAGTTAGGTAACCTTGAACAAGTTACTTAACCTCTCTGAGCCTCAGATTCCTTGTCAGTAAAATGAGACTCAAGTAATTTTTTTTATTCTATTTTATTTTATTATTTTTTAAATGTTTTTATTTATTTCTGAGAGAGACAGCATGAGCGGGGGAGGGTCAGAGAGATGGAGATACAGAATCTGAAACAGGCTCCAGGCTCTGAGCTGGCCGTCTGCGCAGAGCCCGACATGGGGCTCGAGCCCACAAACCATGAGATCATGACCTGAGCCGAAGTTGGATGCTCACCCCACTGAGCCACCCAGGCGCCCCTGAGTCTCTTATGTTTTGTCCCCCTCCCTGTTCTTGTATTCTTATTGTTTACTTTCCCTTATGTTCATCTGTTTTGTGTCTTAAATTCCTCATATGAGTGAAGGCATATGATATTTGTCTTTCTCTGACTATTTTCACTTAGCATAATACCCTCTAATTCCATCCACGTAGTTGCAAATGTCCATCACTTTTAGAAGCGAGAGTACATATATCTGAGGATCCTGATAGGATGAACAGTGTAAAGTATATGATGCTTAATAAGGAAGCTATCGTTATTAGTTATTGATTCACACCTGCTTTCTTCTAAATGTTTTATATGTTTAGACTTTAATCTGTTCCATTTTGAGTTGATTTTTGTTTATGTTATGAGATAGAGGTCCACATTTATTCTTTTGCATGTGAATATCCTGGTTGTTTGAGAATTTCCTTTTTTTAAATCTTATTTTGTTTCTTATTTTGAGAGAGAGAGAGACTGTGAGCAGGGTGGTGGCAAAGAGAAAGGGGGAGAGAATTCCAAGCAGGCTTCTCACTGTCAGCACAGAGCCTGACATAGGGATCGAACTCACAAACCGTGAGATCCTGACCTGAGCCAAGATCAAGAGTCAGTTGCCCAACCGACTGAGCCACCCAGGCACCCCCTGTTTGAGCACTTTCTTGAAGAGACTATTCTTTTTCTGTTGAATGATCTTGGCACCCTTGTCAAAATTATTTGGCCATAAATCTGAGGGTCTATTTCTGGACTTTCAATAACATTTTATTGGTCTATGTGTCTATCCTTTTCTGCAAGTGCCGCAAAAATCTTGATTACTGTAGCTTTGTAGTAAGTTGTGAAATCCGGAGTGTGAACCCTGATTTGTTCCTCTTTTTCAAGATTGTTTTGACTATTCTGGTTCCCTTTCATTTCCATATGAATTTTAGGACAAACTTGTCACTTCCTGCAGAGAAGGTAGCTTGGATTTTGATAGCGATTACATTGAATTTATAGATTAATTTGGGGAGTATTGACATCTAATATTAAGTCTTCCAATCCACGAACACGCGATGTTTTTCCATTTATGTAGGTATTCTTTAATTTCTCTCAATGATGTTTTATAGTTTTCAGTATCAAGTCTTGTACTTAAAAAAAGTACTCCTAAGTATTTTTAATATTGCTTATTATTATTATTGTTATTATTAAAGTGAGCTCTGTGCTCAATATGGGGCTTGAACTCATGGCCTGATGTCAAGAGTTGCATGCTTTACTGATAGAGCCAGTGAGCACCTGGTGCCTTATTTTTATTGTGGGAAAATAGATACAACAAAAAGTTTTGTCACTGTAACCATTAAGTATACATTTTAATGGCATTAAGTACATTCATAAAATGTTGTGCAACTTTCACCATTATCTATTTATAAAATTGTTCCTCTGGTAATTGTCCTCTTCCCCTCCCCTATCCAAACTTTATATATAATTGACATATAACATTGTGTAGATTTAAGGTGTACAATGTGCTAATTTGATATACTTATAAATTGCACAATGATTACCACCATCGTGTTTACTAACACTTCCATCAGATCTCATAATTACCATTTCTTTTTTGTGGTGAGAGCATTTAAGAACTATGCTCTTAGCAAGTTTCAAGTATATATTATTTTTAACTTAATACTAATCATGTAATCAGTATGCTGTACATTAGATCCCCAGAACTTATCCATCTGATAGTTGGAAGTTTGTACTCTGTCATGAATATCTCCCCATTTCCCATACTCTCCATTCCCTGGTAACCACCACTCTGTTTATATGAGTTTAGGCTTTTTATTTTTATTTTATTTATTTAAAAAATTTTAATGTTTATTTTTGAGACACACACACATACACACACACACACACACACACACACACACACACACACAGAGCATGAGCAGGGGAGGGGCAGAGAGAGAGGGAGACAGAATCGGAAGCAGGCTCCAGGCTCTGAGCTGTCAGCAAAGAGCCCTATGTGGGGCTTGAACTCATGAGCCTTCAAGCTGTGAGATCATGACCTGAGCTGAAGTTGGCCACTCAACTGACTGAGCCACCCAGGAACCCCAAGTTTAGTTTTTTTTAGATTCTACATAAAAGGCATGTAAGTGAGATTATACTGTGTTTGTCTTTCTTCGACTTACTTCACTTAACAGTGCCTTCAAAGTCCATCCATGTTGTTGCAAATGGCAAGATATCATACTTTTTTAATGGCTAAGTAATGTTCCATTGTGTGTATTTGTGTGTGTGTGTGTATGTGTGTGCGTATACACACTTAACTGACTGAGCCACCTGGGCGCCCCCCTGAATTTTATCTTTTTTTTTTTATGTTTATTTTATTTTATTTTATTTTTTAATGTTTTTTATTTATTTATTTATTTATTTATTTATTTATTTTAATTTCTAGGAGAGAGAGAGAGAGACAGCGTGAGCAGGGGAGGGTCAGAGAGAGAGGGAGTCACAGACTAAAACAGGCTCCAGGCTCTGAGCTGGCAGTCAGCACAGAGCCCGACGCGGGGCTCGAACCCACGAACCGCGAGATCATGACCTAAGTGAAAGTCGGACGCTTAACCGACTAAGCCACCCAGGCGCCCCGCTGTTTATTTTATTTTTGTGTGAGAGAGAGAGACAGAGCACGAATGGGGTAGGAGCAGAGAGAGAGGGAGACACAGAATTCAAAGCGGGCTGCAGGCTCTGAGCTGTCAGCACAGAGCCTGACGCGGGGCTTGAACCCATGAACTGTGAGATTGTGACCTGAGCCAAAGTCGGACACTTAACCAACTGAGCCACCTAGGCACCCCTGATTTTAATCAATAAACAGGAGAACCTTGGTTTGCGAGCCTAATTCGTACCAGAAGCATGCTTGTAACCCAGAGCACTCATTTATCAAAGCAAATTTCAAGAACCATTGGCTCAGTTGTTATCATGTGACATTTGGTGTCAACATACTACTCATATTGCAAGACATCACTCATTTATCAAGTTTAAATTTATTAGAAATGTTGGCTCGTTTTGCGGAACACTCAGAACAAGTTACTTGCAATTCAAGATTTTACTGTACTTAATTTTACTGCTTTTGTACTTCCTACTTTTCTTACTGCTGCTTATGATCTTTCCTTTCTACTCAGAGTTCTTCAACTTTTCTTGGGGCTCATTTAATGGTCATGTATTCCTTTAACTTTTGTTTGAGAAACTCTTTATTTCTTCTTCTATTCTGAATCCTAGCCTTGTTGGAGAGAATATTCTTTGCTGCAGGTGTTCTTCTTTTAGCACTTTGAATATGTCATGGCATTCCCCTCTGGCCTGTGAGGTTTCTGGTGAAAAATCAACTGTTAGCCTTACGGGGTTTCTGTTGTATGTAACTGTTTTCTTCTTTCTTACTGCTTTTAAAATTCTCTGGTTGGGGCGCCTGGGTGGCTCAGTCCGTTAAGCGTCCGACTTCAGCTCAGGTCATGATCTCGCAGTTCATGGGTTCGAGCCCCACGTCGGGCTCTGTGCTGACAGCTAGCTTAGAGCCTGGTGCCTGT